ATATATGTTTAACTGAGTCTCTTTCTTTAAAATAACAATAACAAACAACATTTAAGACTAATGAGAGTCAGTGCAAGAAGGAGTGCGCAAATTGTTAAAGTATCAAAAAAATATTTACTTTATTTGATACAGATGTTTTCTTTCTTTTAAATTCTTGATAAACTGAACGGTTCAACTTTCTTTGGAGTTCTCATCAGCAATTTAATACAGACTTAATCTATATTTATTTAGGCATTCAGCCAAGGTAAAATCATTCACAAATTGTCAAAACTGTAGTGGATTATCAACTGACGCCAATCATAATAAAGCTTCGGAATGATTTTAATATACGCAAATTAGTACTTTTCAATACGCAAATGATTTATATTCCATTATAAAAAAACAATGATTAACTCCGACTGATATAAATTTCAATTTTTTTCAGTTCAAAGAATCAATTTACAATTTTAAGAGAAAAATTAAGTAAATTAGTAAATTAAATGTGTGTGTGATTTTTACCTGCTAGTAATTAATTAAAAATAATAATATAAAACAAAACAAGTCAAATAATTCATATCACTCGACTATCCCCCTCCTTTCCCGGATTTACAAGTTTCTATTCTAATTTGATTTCCTCATCTCGCTAAAGAAAATTCTGGCTACGTTCATGCATAATTCCAAACATTATATCAGGCTTTTTCTTTTTGATTCAATTTTTTGAACAATTTATCTTTTTTCTTCACATTGGTAAAAAAAAAAGAAAAAAAAACAGATGAACCAATAAATACAGCTAAAAAAGACTTAGGTCGATATATTCATCCGGGCTTACATATAAGCTTCAATTAATGGGCCTTCTACAATAAGCCATTAGTTATAAATCAGAAGTCAGAAGCTAAAAATTGACCAATCACAGTCGTCAATTTTTAGTTTCTAACTTCTAACTTATGATTAATGGCTTTTGTAGAAGGCCTATAAGTCTTAAGACTCCTGAGTAGTCAGCATGCGATTCAAAATCAGTCGGCGGTCTGGCGAAATATGACGAAATCGGTAGTCACACAAACACAAGCACAAGTCCATGTACAGTTTCTGCCCATTTTTACGGGTATTTTAAAGCAGTCTCGTCATTTAGATTTATTCAAATTGTCTTTATTTACAAATGACTTACAGCATTTATTTGTTAAATGTATACGTGTAATTTCCCACTTCTGACGTCACGATTCCAACATGGCCGCCGCCGACTATTCAGGAGCCTTAAGCCGAAGAAACTGATTAATTATATGGTCTGTTTTTTCTGTTCCTGCACTAGACTGTTCTAGAACTCTCTTTGTCGCTTTAAATAAATATTAAACGTAGTATCAGGTTGCTCCTCGCCCTGATGAAATGGACTGCAAGGTTCACGAAACGTTGGCATACCAAGAATGGATCTGGACATGGAAAAAACCCGCGAAACGCATAATCTTTATATTTAAATATCAAACATATTTCTATTTCACTTTAAGTTCTAAAAGTATACACTGATTCAGAAAACAGACCTCTTGTCTATTATTTTTCTCACGTTCGACTGTAATTGGTCAATTTCTTACGACTTAAGATTTAAGCTTAGAGAATGACTTGTTGTAGAATGCCTATTAAAATAACAAAAACAAAGATAATCTAGACTACTAGGAGTCAGCGCGGAAGGAGGTGCGCAAAAATTTTTTAACAAGTAAAATTGATTGTTACTTCATTTGATGTACAAATGTCTTCTTTATTTAAAAATCTTGAGAACTCTTGAACGTTTCGACTCTCTTTGGAGTCTTCTTCAGCAATATTCTTATTCTATTATAATTGATTTCGCGATCAGTCAAGGTAGACTCACTCACATGCGACTTTATAATTGATTTATGATAGCTTCAAACTATACTTAAAACAGTCTTATAATAAGAATCGATTACGAATACTTATCGGTGTTATCTAGTTGCCACAGACTGAAGGGTTTCTATTGTCTTACGCGTACGTTCAGGCCGTTCAGAGGAATAACCGAGAATAAACGCTTGTTTTCTTATTATACATATATAATCATATATATACGAAAATAAAAGCAAATATAACAGATAATCTGGCTTGCACCGGATGCTTATTTACGGTTACGATAATTTATCGCTTAAATAAATACTTTCCGCAAAACACTTGTTGCATTTGTCGGTCATATCTACCTCACTCGTCAATTACGTCGAAATGTGCTTCGTCAGTCGTTAAAGTCCACTCCATAAATGACTTGTAAACGTGTGTAATTCTCAGAACGCATAATCGAATGCATATTACAGTTTTTGCGTGTGTCGCATTAATAAACAAAATGTAAAAGAAATGTTTACTGCTGTTTTACATCTCATCGTATCAATTTTCACTTATCAGAAGTTTTGATTACGCTTTTCTATTCTAATTATTGTCTCTTTTACATTCGATTTCGTTTTTATTTTTGTCAGGCTTAGTGATCGCATATAGTGGTTCACGGACAGACAGCCGTTTACGCGTAATTTATAATAAAATATAATAATCGAGCACTTGACACTCGTGACACTATCGTATCTCCTAATTGGCCAATTTTAAATGTTTATACTTCAAAAACTAAGATAAATGTACCTGTAAAGTGGACTTTACATTTCAAAAAGTAATAAGTAAGCTAAGACAAATGTATCAGTTGGAGGACATAATTCAATTGTCGAACGACTCCAAATAAATTCGTTATAAAATTTTTACAAACAACGAATTTACTTAAAGTCATACGTATCATTAAAAGCTTAATATTTAATATTTTTGTTATTTCGTCTAATAATTGAATAATGTCTACTATCCAATAACTAGTACATTTACCTTACTATTTAGAACAAAAAATGGCAAAACTGTTTTTAATTGATTTTTTTAAAGAACGTTCTTGTTGTGATCTTTTGATTCGCGAATTTTAAAATATCAGGTATGTGCTTAAAATTATACTGACTGTAAGTTCATACATTATATACATACGTCATACTTTGATAAAAAAGTAGAAAACAACATGACTTGATTAAACGCACTTGTTTTTCTATTCGTGAATGTAGCTTTAACCTTTTGCTCGAACAAAGTACCCTACGTCCGCCTTCGATTGTTCTTAATCGTTTTCGTGTATCGATAAAGAGCTGGAGCAACAGATAAAGGACAATTTCTGTGGAACGCAAATAAATAGAGGAACCGTGAAGTATACATATAAACAGAGATGGGAAAGTTACTCTTAAAGTTACCTTTAAGTTCCTTTTTATTTAGAAATTCATTACAATAAATTAAGATGTTTTATTTCATATATCATATTTTATCATTTGCTTCAACTTCATATTATTATTTATAATTGCACTCTCTTAATTTCTAAATAAAAAGTAACTTTAAAGTAACTTTAAAAGTAACTTTCCCATCCCTGCATATAAAGTATACTCATCGAGCGTTTAAAAGTTTCTTTACGCAATGATTTAAAAAAAAAACAGTTTTTATGTATAATCTTGCACATGATAAAATCCTGCAGCATATATATTACCTTACTAGAGCTCTCGTATTTAATATATTAATTATTTACATACATGTACGTTGTCCAAGATAATTAGTTATATATATATATATTATCAGGCAGGCATTTACATAACGCGATTCTTCATGCAATTCTTCATAACTCGCATAAAAATATACTACTAGTGTCACTAGTGCAAAAAATAAATTCGATAAAAAATTTCATTAAAATTTCACTGAAATTTTATTGTGAAACACCACTATTACATTATTAGTGACACCACTTGTCGAATTTACTTATACACTAGTAGTATATTTTTATGCGGGAACGCATGAAATCAATTTATAATGCAGTAAATTAGTAAACAAAAAACATAACTAAATTAACAAGAGAATCTGTCACAATTTTCTGTACGTAGTTCATCAAATCTTTAAATTATCAAATTGTTAAACTGAATGATTGTTAAATCGTTCCGACCCGAATTGAGTGCCTATATAACTTCAGACTTGAAGACTTTTATTAGTTGCACTGCACTTAGTGACCTAGTTAGCTACATTGCACTTACGCCTACTTCCACTAATGTAGATGAACTTAAATCTCGGTTCAACTTATTCTTCATTTTTTTCTATTTTAATATTCATCTTTCTACCAATGCAAATTAACTTTGCTTTTGATTAATTTGATTTACTTTTTATCTTTTTCTAGTTTTAAAAATTAGAAAATGAAGAACAGTAAATTAAACCGAAATTAAATTTAATGTACATTGATAGAAACGGGCATTAGGTTCGATTTCATCAATGTGAAATTAACTTTAATTTCGATTTCATTTACTCTTTATTTTTTTCTATAATTTTAAGAATTTCGCTGTTTATCTTTTCCTAGTTCTTAGAATTATATCCAATGTCGATAACTTTCATCTTTGTTTAATTTACTTTTTATCTTGTTTTAATTATAAAAATTATGCCGCTAATGTAGATTAACTTTAATCTCGATTCAACTTATTACTTCATCTGTTTCTAGTTTTAAAAATTAGAAAAAGATGACGAGTAAGTTGAACCGAGATTAAAGTTAATCTATATTGGTGGAAATGAGTATTAGATAGGCTACTTTGACGTTCATAGCGCTTTAAACGTCATTTCATCCTTCGTGAAATATTAAAGGCAACTGACGCTTACAGGCGTTGTGAACGCCAAAACGAACGCAGCCTTGGACAAACCCGAAAGTGAGAATCAGTGAGAAAAAGAGAAAGTGATTGAAACGAAAAGGAGTGAGGAGAGAAAAACATAGCTGGGATTGCTGGGAAGAGGACGGTGGGACTCGACTGACTCGACACTCGATTCGATTCGTGCGTAAAGTGTAAACGCATACACGCGAGCATGAGTCGAGCTGGCCGAGTACAGACACTACAGACCTGTACAGAGCACAGCTCGATGACCGAGCGTATCCGTGGCATCTGCGATTCTGCGCCATGCGGGCCAAGCCAGGCCATGCGTTTGCAATTGCAACGTTCGCGCTGTTACGAGTATTATCGTCCGTCAGTGGTCACTGGTCGGCACTGGTCAGTCGTCGACGATCGCTCGGCGAGTCGACACGGAAGTGGGTGATCGCTCGTTCGCGATCGATCTCGCCGCGTCGCGAGATTCTCGCGTGTCCTCATTCTCGCTGAGCCGCCCCGCCGGTTGTGTGTTGACTGTTGTTTCGTCAACGAGAATCTTGGTGCACTCTCTCTTTGTCTCTCTCTCTCTCTCTCTCTTTCCTCCCTCTCCCTTTCTCCTTCTCAATCACGTCAGCGACGGGCCGGACGGACGTCAGCGCGGCAGCGTTAGTCGGTTAGTCTGTGATCTGTATCGGATCCGGACGACTTAGGACGACTGGCCTGGACTGACCTGCGTGTCAATAAGATGCAGTTTTATTGACTTTCGTTCGACTTTCTCACGGCCGCGGAGAGAGAGAGGGGGGTCCTCTCTCTTTCTCTCTTTTTTTCAAATGCGCCGTATCTAGTCGCGGTGCCGCCGATAATTGTGACATCACGCGGTGTGTTACGCTAACGTCGCCGTTGTTGCCATCATCCGTGGTCGCTGTCAATCGCAGTGAAAATGCCCGCGCAACTCAGCAAGTTTTCGTTCGAGGTGCCTTGCCGAGATTACGTTCATCCATGGACGGAGTCCTGCGTCAGCGCGACCACCGGTCTCGGTCTGCACTGTCTGCAGGAGTCCCTCAGGATATACACGACCGTTTACATCGTACGTGTCAATGCATTTCTCTTTTTTCGTTTCATTTCTCTCTTTCGTCGGGATGTCTAGACTCGCCAGGATCATTCGAGATGAGGGTACGAATCAGGGGTCGTATTCCTTGTGATTCATCGTCGATCTCTTCCCGAGACACGCGCGTGTCCGCCCTTTCTGAAACATTTCGGGACAAGTGCATTGACGTTGTCGACCAGTGCGTTTGCACTCGATGCGCAGAATGACCCGGTGGGTTCGTTTGGTACCTATTTACGTGCCTGGCCAGGTGCGGGTGCACTGCAACTGAGTGCGAATTAGTACGAATGCACCGTGCCTTTCATGCAATATGCACTCGTCAGTGCACTCGTCCCGAAATCTGATGGACTCCAAATTCGCGATACATCGAGCCGAAAATTACCTGTTTCTATACTGGTGTAATTTCATTTTAATCTTGGTTTCATTAACTCGTCATCTTTTCCTAGTTTTAAGAATTAAAAAAGGATGAAAAGTAAATTAAACCGAGATTAAAGTTATCTACGTTGATAGGCACAGATAAAAGATAATATATAAAAAGACGCATATAGCGAATTCGATTATTTGCACCAAATTAGCAAAGTTAAATGCAAAAACATACAAATATTTTTGTAGAAGGCTTATAAATACTTAATTATGGTATTATCATATTATCAAACAGAATATATATATATATATATATATATGCTTCAATTATTAATTATTTTATTGTTAAAGTGATTGTATTATCACAAAATTGATTATATTATCATGCATTTAGATTATGCTTTATATGAAGCAGTCTTCAATGTCTATTAATTCAGTGTAATGTGAGTGATCGATCAATCGAATTCATCAATAGATATAAAAAAACCAATATTGCAAAACAAAAAAGATAATAAAAAGATTAATCACAGGTTGCCGATTATATTTTAGCCAATCGCGATGCCATGGCTAGCTGCATCGTGATTAGTTAAAATAAAACCGGAAATCTCAACTGGCAACCTATGAAAATGAACCAATCAAAGTCCTTTCTTTCGACATGATATGCTTTGTGCGTTATGCAAAAGTTTATACTCCGATTTTAAATTAACACAGTGAACCATTACATCCTTATTATTAAAGAAGTATGTATATAGTACACATTAATATTTACACGTTAAATAAATTGTATATATATAAAAGTTGTAATTATAACGTTCCATTTTTATTGAACAACATATTTTTTATTTATTTTCTTTGACACTATTTTTATTGTTATGTAAACTAAAATGTGAAAAATAACAAAAATTTAAATATTTTTGTATAAGTTTTAAGTATTTAGTTCAATAAAATGACTTAAGCAAAGTTTCATTGCGATTTACCGATTAGTTGCAAAGATTTAGAACAAATATTTTGTTTATTTACAAGATAACTAATTTCGGGATTACAACTTTACGTAAATCATTTTGAATACTTCGAGAACTTTGAAAAAATTGAGATTTTTGTCATTTTATAATACATTCCTATATATTTTTATTACACCAAAAAGATAAAAAAATACTATTTATTGTAATAACTTTTAATCCAGATAAATCGCCACTAAAAATTTTTGTATTATTTTTACATACAATCTAGAATAATCCGTAATTTTTTCATAATTATTATTTTGAAATATCGATTGTACCTCCCTAAACAAAGATGAAATGAGCTCACTGTGTTACACTGTATCTGCTGGAAAATACCATTTGATGTTAAGAGTGACTTCGACCGCACTTGACATCATCTTGTTGAAAAAATACCCGTAATATTTCATGAACATATAAATAAAATTATTAATCGTTTGTTGACACGTCAAGATATGAGAATAAGATGATTAATTTATTAATTGCAGTTTGATCGAAGTTACTCTAAATGCAATTATGGAGTCAGTACGGCAAAATCGCCTCGTTCTTTTATTGAAGTATAAAGATGTCAGATTCCCTATCCAAATCATGAATTTCGTGATTTAAGAAATTGAGAATCTATGTAAAGACCTTGAGAATAATCGATGCAATCACACTCGCTTCTCCTTATACCTTTCGTCATATTTTTTATTAATTTGTTTTTATTCTACACGCTTTATGAAGAAATTCGAAAAAAAATTAGTCGAAACAACCTTGAAATAAATCAACCTGCATAAAAATGTCTGACTATGAATAAAATTCTAATATTTTAATTCTAATAAAGAAAAACGCTAAAACTTAAACTGTATGATTGAGACGTCACATGTTTTTGTGTATTTTGCGAATCTGATATTTTCGATTTGATGACATAAATTATAAATTTTGTGAAAACTTATGTAAAGTCTGATAAAAAAAGCGTCGGAATATTTAAACACGATATTCTTAGCTTTCGTTCCATCGCGTTATTGACTGACAAATATTTCCATTATATTTAGTTTTTGTAATTCATTTTGTATTTAATTTTGTTATATATAATTAAGCGTTCCCAATAAGACTCATTAGCACATGCAGACTACGGTGTAAATGAATGATTCATTATCGCTAGTTAACTGTGTATTACTTCGTAAATCTTTAGTTGTTGAAATAGATAAGAAGGAAATGAAGCGAAAAAAAATGAAATAATATTTATAAACTCGATTTTAGCAAATGTTTATGTCTCTCTCTGAATTAACCATAATCAACAATGGAAGAAGTTAATTTCGATATAACTCCACAATTTTCTATTGCAACGCATACGATTTATGATAATATAAATATTTATGATATACATATAATATGAATGATGATATAAATTTTAGTTTAAAAATTTTATTGTAACTGATTTTCTTGTCATTTTAGATTGCATTTTTAATGAGAAGAAAACGACCAACGAAAGAAGATGTCAAGAAAACTATGTTGGGTATCCTCCAATCCACAGCATTTCTTTCATGGAGTGCTTTCTCCTATTCGATGTGGATTTGTTTATTAAGGTAAGGAATAATAAATGTGAGACTATTTAATGAAGTCAGAATTTCTGGGGAAATTTAATTAAAAAATTTCACTTATCACCTTTTTTAAAACATATATTTATCAAAATATTAATAAGTTTAAATATATGAAGTACTAGAAGACACAATTAATAATTATAATTGTGTTTCAGGCTAGCACTTGGACGTTTTTATATACCGACTGTATCTTTTCTTCCGTCCTTTTTATCTAGCCTGTCTGCCATTGTGATAGAAAGAGCCTCTAGGCGTACATTATTGTGTCTCTACGTGTCAAATGTTGTAAGTAGAGATCGCAATAATCACATTAATAATATGTTATCATTATCGTTTCCTTTTAGGCAACGGAAACTTTGTTCAAGATGGGTTTGTGGAGAGGATACTACTCACCTATTTCGAGAGGAGAAGTCTATATATTTGCCGTAAGCGTAGCTGTATTACTGTATTTCTTTCGTTCAAAGACGAACAAACAGGATCAAGTATATAAAATATTTAGGTATATCTGAATGTGTATACCTGATGCATATATTGTATATATCTGTGTATCATATGCATGTGATTTTCAAAAAAACAGGATGATTATTGGGCGATATGAAGAGACTGAATATCTTAGAAAGAAAGACTCGCATCCCGAAACATCTTCGAGAAACATTGCGACTGACAGCGCAAAGGATGACAGAAGTATACATAGGAGCTCTGCAAGACATAAATTCAGTATTCTATGGAAGTCCTTTGAGGCATATAAATATATCATTAATAGCTTAAAGGCGCAAAGTAAGGATGCTTCATGTCCGCATCCTTATAGCTGCGCACATTATATTTTAGCGGTATATATGTAACAGCAATATATAAAGATTCTAGAAAAATATTTTATTTTTCGCAATATAACTATCTTCCTTTTCTATTTAAAGGATAGTGCAAGGATCTTCAGTTATGGTGTTTGCGGACAAATAGCGCTTAAACTGATCTTGCAATTCAAAAGATTACTTCAGAAACCAAAATTACTAAAAACCACCATCTTTCAAAGAGACAATTTAAATCTAGCTATATTTCTTGGAGGATTTGTCGGCCTTTATAAAGTATATCATCTTACTCTGCATATTTGACGCAAATTATAGAATATCGAATAATATCTTTCGCAAGAAATTGTTTCCACTAACCTTTTTTTTTCTCTTTATATATAGCTAGTATCATGCACGTTAAGAAGAACCTTCCACAAAGATTCGCACATTTATGCTATTCCTGCTGGACTTATCGCAAGCGTAACATTTATGGCATACCCCAATACTACTATAGCTTTATATATCATGTGGAAGACACTACAGGTATTATTATGTATTTCTATTAATATATTCGTGTTATATACTAATGTAGCAAATTATAATGTAACATCGCTGACTTTGTTTCAGTTGCTGTGGAACGATGCAGTGGAAAAGGAGAAAGTACCTGAAATAAAATGGTTTGCAAGTTTATTGTATTGCTTTAGCACGGCAGTTCTCTTCCATGCAGCTATAGTGGAACCACAAAACTTGAGATCGTCCTATTGGAGATTCCTTTACACTGTGTCCGGTGGAAGGTAAATATTATGCGAGGCGCAAAATAAAAGATTATTATACCTTATCCCAGATTCATTCTATTATTCTTTGTACGTATATTGATTTCAGAATAGCAGTGATGTCCCGGTTACCTATGAAGGTGTTTGGTTTAGAAACACACAAAAATTTGCAAGAAGTGCTCAGAAAAACGAAAACTACAGATCAACTTACCTTTTCGTTCTAAAATATCGAGTATAAGTATCAAGCGTGACAATACGTACCTTAGTTAGTATCTTTCCTCGGAAGCGTAATTCTCTAGAACCAAAGAAGTGTACATCACATATACGTTTTAAATTGTATAAATTAAATTCTTTGCGATAAACAAGTGAAACAACAAAATGTATTTTAGCGTAGTGATCTGAACGTTAACGTTTCTACTTTGTTTCTTCAACCTAATTCGAAGCGATGTTGCTTGAATATGTTGTGATACTAAACGAACTTAATACTTTTATACATAGATATAATTTATGTAACTTAATATATTTTTTTTATTGTTATGGTGTGATAATTATACACATATATGTCAGGGAAATAGACAAATATTATTTAAATGGATATGATTATTAATTTGCAACTAGAATATATCTGCAAGTATATTTAATTGAATAGCGAGATACTTCCATACTTTTTTCCCTGCGGTGTATACATTATAGATTATTTTTTCTATGTTTAATACAAACTTTATATTTAATGCTGATATAATATAAATACGTTCCATACGGACAGCTTTATTGTATATTTTATTATAAATATAACTTATTTATTGGAGCAATGTGATATTAATGCGTGTTTTATTATGTCCGATTTATACTATATTATTATATAACATTATTTCTGGTTTTTAACAATCTCTAATGCTCTGTTCATTACATCTACGGCACGTTTGTTACGTTTCTTCTCTATTCTCCTTTTTTTTCGCAGTATGTCGTCCCATTTAATACAACTTTGCATTTTTAAATTCTTACGATTTATAATACCAGCGACTATTTGAGAATCTAGGAATGAAACAGAGTGTTTCGATGGATTCAGTTCGAGTGGTTCCAAACTCTTCAATGAATCTACCTGCCACGGTAGTAATCCAATGGAACATCCGTTCCATTGATAATTGTCTAAAAACCAGATCAAAAACAATACTATAAATGTGATATTATTGATCATTCAAAATATTATATACATCTTGAAAAACATTTGTAAATACGTACCATATGCTGATTTCCAATGTGGATTACGGATTATTTGATCTGCCAACAAGCAAGTAGGTTTCTCTCTATTTGCACAATTTATTTTGTGTGTATGCACTTCATTTTCTATTGGACTTGGATTGAGGTCTTCGACAGTAAATATTTTATCAACATCATTGTTGCTATCCTCATTGTCATACTTTTGACATGTGTAAATTTGAAGTAAATTTAACAAATGTTTTTGTGTTTGTGCATCTATTCTTGATGTAAGCAACTTTAAAATTGGCTCTACCAGTCTTTCAGAGAATTCATTTATATTTAGTAAAAGTTTTGATAAAAAATTTGTATCAAGAAGAAAGTGTGGTATGATACTTGATATGTCTAACCATAGAACGTTCCGTAAGTATGGATATTCAGAGTGTACGCGTTCTTTGAGATGTTGACTTAAAGTTTTTGTGTCTAATTTTCTGTTCGCTTTCTGTAATTCATACTCCATGGTGTGAGAAATATTTTGGACGATGTCTAATTGAACAAAACTATAAAAGATGGAACTTATCCACAAAGCAGCAAGATTTCTTCTTTCTTTATCTTCATGTTCTTGATTTACGATATTAAACAGCTTAAAGAGTAGCGTCTCTAACATTTCTTTTTCATGTAACAAGAAAATAACATATTTCCAGAATCGAAGCAGTTTGAGCGGCAAAATTCTTCTTTTCAAATTGATATTCTTTTTTTCTTGTTGTCGAAAAATTCTCATGATATCTACATTGGGTAGAAAAACTTTATTTTTACATAATGCGTTGCAAATTGTATTGCTCTTCTCACACATTGTACTTGAGGATTCGTTTAAATCTACAGATATCTTAGCTAAAAGTAGAGTTTTTGCAGTTTGCAAATTGTATTCTTTATCAATTTTTACAGTTCTCTTGTAAACGGATATATATTCGTTCTCGTCATTATCCGAAGTTTTACTTTTATACTCGGACAACATGTATGTGCATAAATCTTGCAATATTTCCCTGTAAAAAGTAATATTAATAAATTAATTTAACCATACATCTTATTCCATATTAAGGACTTATTGATTAAATAAAAAATGCTGACAATTCATTCGATTTGCAATAAAAATATACCGTAATTGTGTCTCTGGTAAATCAGACACTAATTTATAATCAGCATTGACATATAAACTAACAGCTGTCCAAATTTCAATCATATTTGTAAAATTCTCTATTTCGGATTCTTCTTCCTCTAAGACTTCCTCTCCTTCTTTCAAGTAACATTTTTCCATTGCACGTGCTTCGGGCGCCCAATACTCATCCTTTACAAAATATTTCAAAAGGTTTTGTAACACTGAATACTTATTAAATCCATTCTATTACTGCGTAAGTCTAGTTATAAGTGATTGTAGTTGTAAGAATTGATCAATCGGCAGTCAAATATTTTCATATTCGATTGTAACTGATAAATTCTTACAACTATAATCACTTGCATCCGCAATTATAGAATGGATTTTATAGTTGTGGCAGAAACAAACATACATGTAACCAATGCAGCAGTATATTAATTGCTATCCTCAATACTCCAATAGATGGCAATTTGAATCCATGGGCAGTCTCATGCCTCAACTCGACTATCCACTCTGGAATTTTCAGTTGACTAGCAATCTTAAACATGGATGTTTGCTTTGTATGCCCTATATTGGAAAAGTAGTTCAAGAATCTCATTATAGTGGTCGAGTACATCAAGCTCAGGTCATTCTCGCAATACATCGGTAGCTCGCCACTGTCAATCTTGGATGTCCATTCGCGATCGCGGAGGCACACTTGCAAAATTGACAGAGTACAATCCACGCCCACTGGTAGTTTCGGCATCCTGAGAATAACAGTAATCTCTAAAATCCATCTCGATATCCAGTTGAGTAATAAAACATTGCATCACCTGGCTTTCCATGCTAAGAGCGCCTCGTAGGCCTTTGTTTGCTCAATCGGGTCGTTGGAATAAATCTGCCTGTATACATCGTGCCATTCTGCCCTGATTAACAGATGGATTGTCGGCATTCATTCATCTCTTATGTTAAAATTTTGTTTATCAATCGATACTTACGGAGATAACCATGGTACCTGCTTTACACCGTCGTATTTCCCGGACAACGCTATGTTCACCGATGTAGGGTACATACCGATATTTATGTGACAGTTGTCCCACCACGTGCTTTTAGACGTGTTTACCTCAAGCCTCAAGTAAGGCTTAGTAAGGTTGAGTAAGGTCCAACCAGTCCAATCACTCCAATCGCAATATAAAGCCGGCGATACACGATGCTGTTTTTTTGCTGTGTTCTAGGCTGCGTTCAGATACTACACTCGGGGGACCATTCAAGTTCCCGATTGCCGTTCAGAAACCAATTGAGAATATGTCAGCGTTACCTAGGTGGCCCATTCAGAAACGTGTCGGGTGTTCCCAATCGGGAGACTTTTGCACCCTGCTCTTTTGTTAGGTGGAGTCTCTCGGGCTGCGTTGGGAAACATCACCCGAGTGTCCCTGTGTATCATTTTATCCTTATTATTCATCCAATGTTAAACAAGGATAAGATGATACACGGGGGCACCCGGGTAATGTTTCCGAACGCAGCCTCGATCGAGTTGGCACACAAAGCGCGGGAAGCGAAACATGGGCTGCGTTCAGTAGATTCAACAGTTTTGCAACCGTTTTGTGGGGAGGGCTCCGATTGCACACATCGCATATTGCACACATGTATCGCTGATTGGCCAATTTAAAAATAAAATAATCTCATTGGCAAAACAGTGAAAAATTACTAGGCACCAGTTGATATGAGTGGTGTGTACAATCAGAACTGTAGGCAAACGGGATCCTCCCAAATCAAACTAATCAAGACTCCTTACAAATCAAAAAATTGGAAAGAGTAAGGGCACTAGGAGTCGGGCGCAGAAGACGTCGCACAAATAATACACTTATAAAGAGTGAAACTTCTTTATTCACTAAACGCGCTTACATGTTTCGACTCATTTTTTGAGCCTTCCTCAGAGTAAACACACACCAACACACAAAATTATCCTGTCATAGTGAGCTCCTCTATATCGAGAATTTCAATGCCAGAATTAAATAAAAAGAATGAAAAGAAAATGAAAAAGAAGGGAAATATTAAAAATGTCAAATTAAAGAATCTAGAAACTAATTTATCAAAAAACTTTAATAATATAATTAATTATCCCGAAAATATAAGAACAGACGCTCATTATAATTACAAAGTACCGTATCGCAAACATTAGGGAGTTTTTGCAATACCGATTATCCAGATACGGTGAACGTTAAGGTCAGGTTATCTTCTTCTTAACAACTAATTAAGAAAAGGATAACATGACTTTAGCATTCACCGTATCTGAATTCACGTTATTGCAAAAACTCCCTATTATCATAAATCAAAAACCGGTTCCTGATATGTTGGCCAGTCGGTATCAGACACAGTGAGTCACTTTTTAATTATTAGCTAGTACTAATGAAAATTGTAAAGTGATAAAAAATCTCGTCAGAAGGACTTATTACTGTGTACGAGCAACAGTCGGTGTCGACGAGATCGAGACAAGATTTGCGCGGAGAGTTTAAAGACAAGACGAAATTTTAGACTCGAGATTCTTGATCTCGAAAATCTCGAGATCAAGACAAGAATGTACATTTCAAAATTTTTTCAAGACAAGGCGATATTTCCTAAAATCTTATCTTGTCTCATCTTGCGGCATCCCTAAGTATATATAGAATTAAGAGGTAACTACATAATAGAATTAAGAAGTAATTATATATAAGTTAAATTTTTGAAACCCGAAATAAAATCTGATATATTCAAAAAACGGTAACCTACAACACATGTTTATGCTCGTGTAAAAATAAGTTAAATTTTAGAGATGGCTTAAATAACACAATATCATATAATAACACAATATTAAATAACACAATATTATATAATAATATGATAAAGTAATAATAGAAATAAACTTATTTGTTTTTAATGCAAAAATTCAGTAGATGCTAAAAGGAATTATTATAAATTTATATTTATGATAATTTTTTTGTTTCTGAATTTTTACTATACTACCACATTTGGTAGTACTATTTGTGGGGCGCAGATTGGCGTCACGCCTAGATAGATCAACTCGGAATTTGGCACTCCGAGTTCGATCCCACCTAAGCGCCCCATTGTTAGCGGTTTTTTCCGCTTGCGGTTTCGTCCGCATTGGGTGCGGTTTCGTCCGCGTATATATATATATATATATATATATATATTTGTTTAAGGTGTTTAAGGTTATTAAACCTTGTGTGTGTACACGAAAAAGGACATACACATGAGACGTGAAGCGAGGATCGAACCCGGCTCCGCGGATTGTAAATCCGTGAACCGAATAATCAGCTACTCGACGTCTTATGAATATGAGGATATTTATTTATCCTTTTGCTTCTCCTCAGTTCTGTAGTCGCTCGATTCTGAAAATAAAAGCAGCAATATTAAAAATAAGAAAAGGGGAAAAAGAAAGTGCCGGCAGAGAATCCAACCAACGTCGGCGCGGCGATGCAGCGGTTACTAAACAAAGTGTGCCTTCCAACAAGCAACACAAATGACACGGTGCGTGCATTCGTTTATGCAACGGTTAGCGCAGAAGTATTACTTTATCCTTGTTGTTCACCGAATGTTGAATAAAGATTAAATGATATTCACTGCACTAACCGCTGCATAAACGAATGCACACAACGTGACACAATGGGTCATTACATCCTTGTTGTTTGCCAATGTTAAACAAAGATGACATGATTACTTGGTGCATTCCGTTTCACGCATGATACGCATGATGCATCATTTGTCCTTGTTGTTCACCGAATGTTACACAAAGAATAAATGATGCATTATGCACATCATGCGTGAAACGGAATGCACCCACTGTGTCGCATTGTGTCGCTTGTTGGGAGGCACACAATAATGACTACCCGCTGCGCCACGGGACTCGTTGTGATACCTGCTTAAGAACATTCTCCGACTGCAGTTGTGCTCAATCTAATGAGCACATTAGTGCTCACCATTATCACAGTATAACCAGTAGAGTCACGCGAAAAAATACGGGTAGATATGGCTTTGTTTTGAGCCGGATCCAATGAAATGTAAAACGAAAGTAATGATGTGTAATGACAGTATGTACATGTAATGTATGTATATGACAGTAATGTAAATGTTAACATGCCGGATGTTCACGTGACTGGCGACACGGAGATCAAAGGTACCGACACGAAGTGTCCCTACTGGTTATACTGTACCATTATGAAAATTTTTATAAAAATTTATTTCACTTTTATATAATATAAGATATTTCATAAGTGTTAATGTTTTTATACAAGTTTTTTTATACAATATAAAATGCCTCTAGCCTTCGGATCGCTATTGTCGCCAATCGAAAAAATAGTGACTTTACTTACTTTGCTACTTACTCTGCTCAATGATTTCTTAAAAACGAATACTGGAAGCCATATTCAGACAAATTTCATATTATTCCTTGTATAATATCAAGTTTTATGTTTCATTGTTTCAAAAAATTGTTAAGAAAAACTTTTTTACAGTAAATAAAAAGACCACTTTTGAATAAGCTTTAGATAGGTATCCTATGTATATGTGTTATATTATATATATGTATATATGTATATATATATATGCACGTATATATATTAGGTGTTAAACTTAATTCCTGCCGTTTTTCGTCTTCAAAATTGATTTGTTTCGAAGGGAAGATGGATGAATACCTTAATCAAAATAATTTCCTCCATTTTCTACTTAATTACTAATTAATAATACTTTATTAATAATACTTTGATTAAAGTATTTGCCTTCGAAACAAATCAATTTTGAAGACGAAAAACGGCAGGAATTAAGTTTAACACCTAATATGTATATATATTTTAAACGCTTCAACTTTGAAGTGGAATATCTCGATTTTTAATCCCGCTCTGGGTATTGAGTTTTAAAGCACATATGTTCAAGACACTAAACAAGCTTATTCTGTAAGTTTTAGAAAAATTTAAAGAAAATGGATTTTTTCGGAGAACGTCCTTAAGGCGATGCTAAAGCTCCCTGTTTTACCACATTTCTGTTCGGTGAAAAATCTCTGTATTGGATGTACGGATTGCAAAAGTATTATTACTTAAATTATAGTACGCATCAACAGGACCTCAGCTGCACTGGATTTTATGAGAAAATCGAAAAAAAATTAAAAATTCACTTACTTTTGGCTCG